TTATCCATATATTTTCCGTAAACATTCATATTTTCCTGTAAAAAGAATTTTGTCAGGGAAAGTAATTTTAATGTCAGTAAATTGTCAGGGAAATGTCAGGGAAATTGATAAACTGAAACTTGTGGCCATCCTGAAAATAATTGATTTCGAGAAGAAGTTTCATTAAAAATTTGTCGAAAATAATTGAATTTTAAGAGAATTAAAGTTGTAATTTTGAGAAGTTATTAAATTTCAGAAGGTTTTGAATAGAAATTTTTTTAATTTTATTCCCGTACAAAAATAAACAAAAAGTATTTAAATATTTATTTAACGAAATTATTCATGTTTTAAATAATTAAATTTAGTAATCAGTGAAAGATCGGAAGAATCGAAAATTAAATTTTTGTGATGAAACTGAATTAAGTGAAAGACTTTTTCGACTTTTTTTTCTATTTTATATCGACTGAAGCGACTTTTTTTTGCACCTAATTGGACATCTTCTTTTCATAATAAGAAAGGCGGAGCTTATCCCAAAAATTCTCAGTTCAGATTTCTTTTAAATTTCCCACGCGGTAAATATACAAGTTTGTAATTTTTGCAAAAATTATATTTAATTTCTCACGCCTTTCCTTATTTTTTTTTTTTTTTTTTTGAGAACTAATAGTTTGTAATAACCAGTTGTGAAAATAGTCTCAAAAGAATAAAACGACGAATTTGTCATATATATTTCTAAAAGATGTTAGAATGATGGGAGTGAAAATGTGACTGCTTAATATGACATATTTTCGAATACATTTATTTATTCACACCCGCAAAATCGTTCTCTCAGCTGTCAACAAAAAATCGAGAAGTCCCTTTTTTCTCTTCCTCGTCTTCCTTTCTGACCTAAACGGTCAATTGTATATACACACACAAAAAGTCGTCGTATGGTCGCACGTCTCTTGTCCCATTTTGAATATACATATATATATATATATATATATACTAAGAAAGAAAACACGGATTTTGATTTTTGTCGTTCCGTTTCGTTTTTATAGTCTCGTCAATAAGTTGTCTTGATGATCATCATCATTTTGGAATTTTTCTTTTCTTTATGGGTTATATAGTTCGCCTTCAACGCTGTCATCATGATCATCGCATCATCGTCATGATCAACATCATCATATTCAAAAAGCAACGTGGGACTTGAAAAATACTTGGCAGGTCGTCGTGTTATAATAGGGTTTCCAACTCCTTGTCGCGAACTCCGCCCACATCATTCAAAGCAAGCCAGTTGATGAAATTCTTCTGAATAGACCGGATGTGGCTGCTGCATTCATCCTCTAAGTGAACAACCAGAAACACGACACTTTATCGTATATCGTGATCTAGCAATCGATTCTTTAAATTTCTTTATTCTTTTCTTATATTATATAGGCATCAAGTAGTTTTTGGATTGAAAATATATACGCTTCTAAAAAAAAAGGGTCTTGAACATTTTTAGACATTTCGACTCCCTTCTTCTTTCGGGACCGATTCTTGGGTTCTGTTCTTTGGTTCTTTTACTTATGGTACTATTCTTACTGTTTGGATTTTTAATATCATTTTTAATATCTGCATTTTAAGTTTTTAACATCATCATTTTAATACGAGCCATTAATGTCATGCTTTTAATATCAGCCTTTTAATATCATCCTTTTGCATCAGCTTTTTAATAATTTTATTTTTAATATCATTTTTGATATCAGGCTTTTAATAATAGCCTTTTAATATCATCCTTTTGCATCAGCTTTTTAATAATTTTATTTTTAATATCATTTTTGATATCAGGCTTTTAATAATAGCCTTTTAATATCATCCTTTTGCATCAGCTTCTTAATAATTTTATTTTTAATATCATTTTTGATATCAGCGTTTTAATGTCAGCCTTTAAAATCATCCTTTTAATATCAGCCTCTTAATATTATCATCAGTAGTCGCTTTTATTTCCGGAACACAGTTTTTCTAAGCATATCAAATTGAGACAAAATATTGTTAACCTATGTAATACCCCCACAGCAACATTGTATCAAATTGTGCAACGAATTAATACCAAAAATTTGGAGCAAAAGATAAAAAATTATTAATTATAAATTATTTAATAACTAATTTTACATAAAAACTTTAAATTAATTAAATTTCAAAAGAGTTGCGTTTACAATCTTCATATAAATGGATGAACTTCAAAAGTTTCAATTTGAAACTAATATATAGAAAATTTCAATTTTTATAATGAATTTAAATAGAAATTTTAGGAACAACTGATGATTATTATTATACAGAAATTCACATATTTCCAAAAGTAATGAACTTTTTCACATAAATTCAATGTTCAAACACTTTTTTAAATTCTTGTCAAAATTTCAATTGTCTTATTTAAAAATAATAAAATTCTTCTCCGAAATTCAATTATTTTCGTAAAAAATTGAATAAAATTCTTGGCGAAATTTCAAAAATTTTACTCATTTCAATTATTTTTAATATCTATTATTTGAAGAAAATTTTTCAAAAGAATTCAATTATTTAAACAAAATTTTAATAACAATTTCACACGAATTCAATTACTTACCAATTTTTTTTTTTATAAATTTCTTCCCATCAATTCAATTATTTTTAATTTTTTAAAGGAAGTTTCTCGAAAGAATTCAAATATTTAAACAAAATTTTAATAAAAATTTCACAGGAATTCAATTACTTAACAATTTTTTATAAATTTTTTCCCACCAATTCAATATTATTTTTAACTTTTTAATGAAGATTCAAAATTCAAATATATTTAGAGAATTGAAAAAAATATTTCTGAGAAATTCGATTATTTCGAAAAATTTAAATAAAATTCTTTTAAAAACTATTAATTAAACAAATTTTGACAAAATTCTTTACAAAATTTAGTTCATAAAATTGAAATTCTAATCAAACTTTCTTATAAAATTCAATTATTTTCAAAAATAATACATTTTTTTTATTGGAATTCAATTATTTATAAAAATTTGAATAAAATTCTTCGCAAGAAATCAATTATTTACATAAATAATAAAAATTTGCTAGAAAATTCTATTATTTTAAAACATTTTGATAAAATGCTTTAGAAATTTGAAAAATTATATAATAAAAAAATTAATCATAGAATACAAATATTTTCGTAAAAATATAACATTCTTTGAACTAATTTAATTATTTAAGAAATTTTAATAAAATTCTTCCCAAGAATTCAATTCTTTTCAAAAACAAAATTTTACACTGGATTCAATTATTTCGAAAAATTAAAAAAAATTCTTTGTCAGATTTCAATTATTTTCAATTTTTTAAAGAAATTTCTCGACACAATTTAATTGTTTTCAAAAAGTTTTCAAAAATTCTGAGAAAATCAATTATTTTAAAAAATTTGAATAAAATTCTTCGCAAGAAATCAATTATTTTCTTAAATAATCAAAATTTTCACAAAAAAAAAAATTTTGATAAAATGCTTTACAAAATTTGAAAAATTATAATAAATAAATTAATAATAGAATAAAATTATTTTCGTGAAATATAACATTCTTCTTCGGAATACAATTTATTGTCGAAAATGTCAATAAAAATCTTCGAACCAATTCAATTATTTTCGTATAAAAAAATATTCCTCGAGGTAATTCAATTATTTAAGAAATTTTTATAAAATTCTTGACATAAATTCAATTATGTGTAAAATTTTTTTTAAATTCTCGTCAAAATTTCAATTATCTTTGGAAATAATAAAATTCTTCTCCGAAAATAAATTATTTTCGTAAAAAATTTAATAAAATTCTTGTTTAAATGTCAGTAATTTTTAAAAAAAATTTATCTTTTTAATTATTTTAAATATCTACTATTTTAATAAAATTTTCCAAAAGAATTCAATTATTTAAACGAAATTTAAATAAAAATTTCACAGGAATTTAATTACTTACCAATTTTTTTATAAATTTCTTTCAACCAATTCAATTATTTTTAATTTTTATAATGATGTTTCTCGAAAGAATTCAAATATTTACAGAGAATTGAAAAATAAATTTCTGAAAAAATCAATTATTTTGAAAAATTTAAATAAAATTCTCTTAAAAATTCTATTATTTAACAAAAATTTGCCAATATTCTTTACAAGATTTAATTAATAAAATTGCAAATTTAAATTTTAATAAAAATACAATTCAATTATTTTCAATACATTTCTTCACAAGAATTTAATTATTTTCACAAGTAATACATTTTGTTATGGGAATTTAATTATTTAAAAAAATTTGAATAAAATTCTTCGCAAGAAATCAATTATATTCATAAATAATAAAATTTTTTTCGACAGTTCAATTATTTTAAAAAATTTTGATGAAATGCTTCATAAAGTTGAAAAATTATAATAAATTAATTGATCATAGAATACAGTTATTTTCGTAAAAATACAACATTTTTTCTAGGAATACAATTATTGTCAAAAATGTTTATAATAATCTTTGAAACAATTCAATTATTTTCATAAAAAATAAAATTCTTCGAAGCAATTCAATTATTTAAGAAATTTTAATTAAATTCTTCCCAAGAATTCAATTCGTTTTAGAAATAAAATTTTTCACAAGAATTCAATTATTTAAAAAAAATTAATAAAATTCTTCGTCAGATTTCAATTATTTTCAGTTTTTTAATGAAATTTGTCAAATCAAAACGGTGCTTCGTTTTTTGTCTCAAAAGTTGTTATCCTTAGAAAAATTGTGAAACGAAAAACGGAAAAGTACTTTGACGGTAACTTTTAGGAAATAACTCGCATATAGCAAAATATAAGTGAAAAGATTGTCAATTTTTGGTACAACAAATACATGCGCGTTCTTTATGCTTGCGGGGCGAGAATATAAAGAAGAGGAAGGAAGGGATTTACACCTTCTTTGTTACAACAAAGAAGGAAAATCACATTTTTTTTTCCTTTTTGCTGAGCGCGTAAATATTTCTATTTTGATGATGCGGCTAACAAAATATATTTTCTTTCGTTTCAGGTCGCATCTTATATGATATTCCATGTAAAGTGTGTCGTGATCATTCCTCGGGGAAGCATTATGGAATATTTGCCTGCGACGGCTGTGCTGGTTTCTTCAAGAGGTCAATAAGACGTTCGCGACAGTATCATTGCAAAGCAAAGGCCGAGGGCGGTTGCACGGTTGACAAAACACACAGAAACCAATGTCGCGCTTGTCGTTTGGCAAAATGCATACAAGCCGGAATGAATAAAGACGGTAAGGGAGAGGAAACATTTTTTTTTTTTTTAAATTAAAACTGTTAATATTTGAAAGTACACTGGAGCGCCGATTTAGCGGATACCGTTTTAGCGGAATTTTCGGGTTATGATTTACGATTTTCTTTGTCCTGATTTGTTAAAGGTATTTTTTTTTTTAAATTGTTAAGGTATTTTTCGCTTTAACGGACAATTCCGCTAAATCGGAGTTCGAGTGTAGTAGATTCTTAATTAGAAGGAAGAAAACAAAAGTATTTAATAATTGTATTTTTATTACAGCGGTTCAACATGAGAGAGGACCGAGAAATTCAACACTCAGGAGACAAATGGCGATGTACTTGAAGGAACCGGAAGTTATAAATACTTTGGTACCACCAACGCCAGCTGCGGCTGCGGCCGCCGCAGCAGCGTTGGACCTTGCACTTCCAAAACCTCCACTGGATCATCGAATTCAACCTCCAATTATGCCACCAAGTGGACCACATCACCACCACCATCATCACCATCATCATCGTGTGCCCCACACAATGCCACATCCAATCTACGCACACGCTAGCATCAACATGTGTAAGGTAATTAAATACAAATTTCAATCCTAATTTGCACCCATTTTTAAAATCAATAAATCAGTTTTTCTTGATAGTAACAAAATCAAAAATATACTACTACAGGGTTGCCACGAAAATTTAATTTTTTTCCCCTGACTTTTACCTATAATTTCCTGACTTTTTTCAGACTGATTTTAACTTTTTCCCTGTACCTGAAGAATATTCCGATTCACTCAAAAAATTATCAGATACTCAAAAAAATGTTCTAATTACATTTATTTACAAATTTCTTCGAAAGTAAAATTATTCGAAAACATAAAATAACTCCCTTTTGAATAAATATTTAATAATTATTATTTTTCCATATAGGAATTAAGATTCTTAAATTCAAACCTTCTGAAATTCAATAATAACTATAATGAGAATATAGTAAAACACGAAAAAATCGACTACTCCGAGTCGAATATAATAAATAATAAAAATATAATACATTTAAAATGACAGAGTGATAAAATCATTATTTTTTATCATAAGAAAATGATAAATTCAAATTTTCCAAGATTTTAATTTGAACCCTTTTCAAAATTCAATTATTTCTAAAAATTCACGCTATAATAATGCTTTTAATATTCAATTATAATTTTAAATTATAAGTGAAATTCATTTTTTAATCAATATTTTATTAGAAACTTTTTAGAGAATTCATAATTATTAAAATAGAAAAATAAATAATTTATTAAATAATCGAATATTTCTTAACATTGAACTTTCATGAAGAATTTTATCAAAATTTTTAAAAATAATTGAATTCTGTCGGCGAATTTTAAAAAAAATTTTAAAAGTAAACGCAATTTTTCTATCATTTTATTTAAAATTATATAAAAAATGATTGAAATTCTACTGCGACAAGATTTGTTATTTATGAAAATAATTGAATTCTTGCAATGAATTTTATTAAACATTTTTGTAAAGAATTGAATTCCTGTGGGAAATTTTATTTGTAAAAATAATTGAATTCGTATGGGAAATTTTATTTGTAAAAATAATTGAATTTCAGAGAAAAATATTTTTATTTATGAAAATAATTAATTTCTTGAGAAAAATTTTATTCAAATTTTTTTCTAAATAATTGATTTTCTAAGAATTTTTTAAAACTTTTTGGAAATAATTATATATACCATCGAGAGAAATATCATTAAAAAATTGAAAATAATTGAAATCTGAAGAAGAATATTTTATTAAATTTTTTTAAAATAATTGAAGTCCTGTGAAAAATTTTTTATTTGAAAAGAACTGAATTCTTGAGACAAATTTTATTAAAATTTCTTAAATAATTAAATTGGTTCGAAGAATTTTATTTTTTACGGCAAATAATTGGAATTGTTTCGAAGATTATTATAAACATTTTTGATTTTGACAATAATTGAATTCCTAGAAAGAATGTTATATTTTTACGAAAATAATTGTATTCTATCAACAATTTATTTATTATAATTTTTCAAATTTATGAAACATTTCATTAAAATTTTTTTAAATAATTGAATTGTCGAGAAAAATTGTATTTATATTTATGAAAATAATTGATTTCTTGCAAAGAATTTTATTTACATTTTTTAAAATAATTGATTTTCTTCAAATATTTGAAAACTTTTTGAAAATAATTAAATTCTGTCGAGAAATTTCTTTAAAAAATTGAAAATAATTGAAATCTGACTAAGAAGTTTATTAAATTATTTTTTAAATAATTGAATTTCTTTGGAAAATTTTATTTTTAAAAAGAATTAAATTCTTGGGAAGAATTTTAACAAAATTTCTTAAATAATTGAATTGCTTCGAAGAATTTTATATTTTACGAAAATAATTGAATTATTTCGAAGATTTTTATAAACATTGTTGACAATAATTGAATTCCTAAAAAGAATGTTATATTTTTACGAAAATAATTGTATTCTATGATCAATTTATTTATTATAATTTTTCAAATTTATGAAGCATTTTATCAAAATTTTTTTAAATAATTGAATTCTCGAGAAAATTTTTATTATTTATGAAAATAATTGATTTCTAGTGAAGAATTTTATTCAAATTTTTTTAAATGATTGAATTCTTATAAAAAATATATTATTTGTAAAAATAATTGAATTCCTAAAAAGAAATGTATTGAAAATAGTTGAATTGTAAAGGAAAATTTTATTAAAATTTCAATTTTATTCACTAAACCTTGTAAAGAATTTTGTGAAAATTTTTTTAAATAAAAGAATTTTTAAAAGAATTTTATTTAAATTTTTCGAAATAATTGAATTTTTCAGAACTATTTAAAAATTTTTTTCAATTCTCTGAATATATTTGAATTCTTTCGCGAAACTTCATTAAAAAATTAAAATAATTGAGGCCTTGGATCAAATAACTCGCCCGACGCTCGAAGACACGCTCTAATACCAGTCGGGTAGCAGTGAGTGGCCCAGAGGCGCTCACTGCTCACTGACTGGCAGTTGCGCGTTCCTCCGAGCGTCGGGCGAGTTATTCGATCCAAGGCCTCAATTGAATTAGTAGGAAGAAATTTATAAAAAAAAATTGGTAAGTAATTGAATTCGTGTGAAATTTTTACTAAAATTTTGTTTAAATAATTGAATTATTTTGGATAATTGAAATGAATTTTTGAAAATTATTGAAATTTTGCCAAGAATTTTCTTAAATTTTTTACGAAAATAATTGAATTTCGGAGAAGAATTTTATTATTTATAAAAATAATTGAAATTTTGACGAGAATTTAAAAAATTTTTTGAATATAATTGAATTTATGCGAAGAAGTTTATCACTTTTGAAAATAATTGAATTTCTGTAATCAGTTATTGTTCCTAAAATTTCAATTTCAATTTATTAAAAACTGAAATTTTAGAAAATTTCAAATTTAAACCATTGAAGTTCATCTATATTTCATATATGAAAATTGTAAACACAACTTTTTTGAAATCGAATTAATTTTCAAATTTTTAAGTAAAATTATTCATTAAATAATTTATAAGTAATAATTTTATTATAGTTCTTCAAGAATTAAGTTATTTGAAAATAAATTATTGTCAGATATAGAAAAATTTTAAAGGTTTTTTTTATTAGAATTCGTGGTAATTTCATATAGTTTATGTGGCAAACAAAAGAGACACAAAAATTCAGAATTTTCTTGTAATAATTTTTTTCAGTACTTTTAATAAAAAACCCCAGACTTTTTCCTGACTAATTCTAATTTCCCTGACTTCTCTGACCTGTGGCAACTGTATTAATAAAGTATATGTTTTTGAAGTCAAACATTTGTATCAATTTTTGATCTTTTGCTCCAAATTTTTGGTACCAATTCGTTGGGCAATTTGATACAACCCCCACAGCATCTAAACTTGCAGCATCATTGACAATATTAATGAAAGTTTCACTGTTTCACTGAAAGTTTCACTGAAAGTTGACAAAATTCAACGAATGTTGTCAATGGCAAGTTTAGATGCTGTGGGGGCATTAGGTTAATAACAGTATTTAGGATTTAGTGTTATAACATTGAATCTAAAAAAGAGATTTTAAAATCCCTTTTTTTCAACGAAACTTCTTTTTTCTAATTTAAAAATATTCCTCCAGATACCGCTCACAGCTGGAATACCAATAATGCCGGCCATTACTCCAGAGCCAGTTTGCGAGCAAGCGGCACAAATTCTCTTCATCAATGTCCGTTGGGCGAGGGACTTGACATCAGGTTCGGGTCTATCGATGGACGATCAATTAACACTCCTCGAAGCATCGTGGCGTGAATTATTCCTCCTCACAGCAGCGCAAATATTACCAAACTTAGATCCAACATCCCTTCTACCACCAAGATCCCAAAGTCTTTCTCTCGCATTTCAAGTGAATAGATTTCGTGAGACATTATTAAGTTTTCATGCAATGAATCTCAGTGCTAATGAATATGCCTGCATTAAGGCTATTGTTTTATTTAAAGCCGGTCTTGAATGCGAAGCACTGCCAAGCAGTCCAAGCAGTAATGGATCATCATCGCCAACAAATGGTGCGCCAATGGGTAAATTACGCGATCCAGCAACAGTCGCTAGATTAAGGGACAATTTTCAAATAGCATTGGGTCATCAATTGAGTTCCATTGCCTATGGTACATTGAGATTTGGTAAAATTTTACTACTCTTACCAACATTAAAGTGCATCTCACCGGGAACAATTGAGGAACTCTTCTTTAGACGCACAATTGGCATTATTCCAATGGAGAGAATTATTTGCGATATGTACAAATCGCCTTGAGTTTCAAAAACCGCAAAAGTGTTTGAAAACAAAAATCCAAACTTTGGTCTTTTAAACTTTAATTTTTCCAAGTTTCGGTCTTTCAAACTTTGGGTTTTCCAAACTTTGGTCTTTCAAACTTTATTTTTTTTTAAGTTTTGGCCTTTCAAACTTTGGGTTTTTCAAACTTTGGTCTTTCAAACTTTGGGTTTCCAAACTTTGGTCTTTCAAACTTTGGGTTTTCAAACTTTAATTTTTTCAAGTTTTGGTCTTTCAAACTTTGGGTTTTTCAAACTTTGATCTTTCAAACTTTGGGTTTCCAAACTTTGGTCTTTCAAACTTTAATTTTTTCAAGTTTTGGCCTTTCAAACTTTGGGTTTTTCAAACTTTGGGTTTCCAAACTTTGGTCTTTCAAACTTTGGGTTTTCCAAACTTTGGTCTTTCAAACTTTAATTTTTCCAAGTTTCGGTCTTTCAAACTTTGGGTTTTCAAACTATAATTTTTCCAAGTTTCGGTCTTTCAAACTTTGGGTTTTCCAAACTTTGGTCTTTCAAACTTTAATTTTTTCAAGTTTTGGTCTTTCAAACTTTGGGTTTTCCAAACTTTGGTTTTTTAAACTTTAATTTTTCCAAAAGTTTTGGTCTTTCAAACTTTGGTTTTTCCAAACTCAAGGTGCATTTTTCTAGGCATATAGGCAATATATCATCGTTTGGTTAATCGTCTAACGATATTGAACAAGCGGCGCAAACAAATAGTATATATATATATGTGTGTATATAAAATGTTGATAAAAGTAAATCTGTGATATAAACATATCACGATAAATTAAAATTTAGAAGAATATTTTTTTTATGAAAAAAGAAAGAAAAGAAGAGCATTAAATTCCAAAATGTGCACAAAGTGCAGTGGAAGCAATAAATTGAGGAAGAAAAAAGAAAAAAAAGAACACATGTACCTAAATTATGTACCGGAAATACGTTAACAGAATATTATATGTATTGTAATTTTTCCAATATATGTGACTCTATAAGTAAAAGTTACGCTCATCGCAGCAAAAAAAAATTTTACTCTCTTCAGCATTTATAATCTTGTAAATTAAAAAACGTCTATGACTTTGATTATAATTTTAACCTTGACTTTGACATTAATATTAACATTAATTTTTGACTTCGATATTGATTCTGAGTTTGACTTTCTTTTTGACTTTCAATTTAACTTTGACTTCCACTTTGATTCTCAAAGTCAAAGTCAGAGTGAAAATAAAATTCAAAGTCAAAGTCGCAAATTTTTCACCGCGTCAAGCAAACTTTCACGATAGAGATTTCACAATTGTAACTTAGAGAATTTTTTTCCCAACCATTTTTGATTGATTCAAATTTTTTTATCGATTATTTCGGCCATAGTGCAAAAAAAAAACGCGTTTCAAACGTGTTCCCAAAAATATATTTTATTGTAAAACAATTGTTATAAAAAAGAAAAAATATTGTACTTTTTTTATAAATAAAACTTATTAAGAATTCTGTGAATTCACTTTTGCGAAATAATGAAATATTAAAATAAAAACGAAAATCTATTAATTTATAATTTATATACTATTAGTAATAATCGATAATTTCTTTTGAATCGAAAAAAAAAAAAATTCTCCCAGGTTAATTGATTGGAAAATTTAAAAAAAAAAAAAAATAAGAATCTGGAAAACGTGGTACAAGACTGTATGCTATTGATTGATAGAAAAAAAAGAATCATATGTTGTAAATATATTCTATCGTGTAGATATTTAAAAAAAAAATTGTACATAGAAATAGATAAAAATTGTCCTTTAACGTGTGTATATGAAATTTAAGCCTTTTTTTTAAAAAATAAAATTTTTCTCGTATTTTATCATGCAAACATAGTTGCAATACAATTTTTTTTCGAATTTTATGTTGTACATATTTTTATTTACTAAGGCACTCGCTGCGCGTTTTAATAATTATATATATACATCAGTTATATGTAGACAATTCATATATATGCCAAAAAAGTATATAAAATAAAGATGTTACAACTTATATAAAAATAAATATTTTTCGTTTTATTATTATTACCCTGTTTTTTTTTGGCTTTTCTAAACTACAAAAGAAGTATTTTTTTCACACTATATTTTTCTTAGAAATTAAATTAAATTCGAATTTTTAATTTTTTTATAATTTTATAATTTTTAAATTTAAAATTTTTAATTTTTATATATAATTTTATAATTTAAAAATTTTAAATCGTTAAATGTTTTCAAAATTTACAAAATTTTAAAGATAGAAATTAAAATTTTTTTTTATTATTATATTATTTATTAGTTTTAATATTATTTATTATTATTTTCTATTATATTATTAATTATTTTAATTAAATTATAAAAAGTTGTTTTATTGTTAACAAACAAAATACATCTTTTAATAGTTGATAAATAATAATTAATAATTGAATTGTAAATTTCAAAAAGGACTCTAATCGAAAAACTTTTATTATTTATAAATTTAGTTATTTATTAAAAAATATTTTTTTTTGAACGCCAAACGTCGACGCTAAATACAAAGTATCACTAAACGATTTGGTAAATACTTGTAAATAAAAATAAAGAATTTTTTTAAACTATTGTAAAATGACTATAAAGTACCTTAACTGACGATTTTCCGTCATATTACACATACACAAAAAACATTGCCTGAATGACGTGAGAATCGACACAATATCCATATAATGAAACCGATATATTCACATAACGAGCAAGTGTGCAACACTGAAAAAAAAATTACAAGTGACTCTCAGATTTCGCATGACTGAACGCGATAAGAACTGATGTTGGCACTTGTGAACAAAACAAATTTTTTGAAGAGATTTTTCAGTTTGTTTATACCCCTATGTATTTTCTTCGCTCACAAATAAAATACTCCAACACTTTTAAATTATTTTGATTCCCAAAAAAAAAAAAATTTTCACTAAAATGATTTTTAAACAAAACATTTTTAATTAAATTTCTGAAATTTTAGTTAAAGAAAATGGTAAATAATGAATATTGTGTACTAAATAATAATTTAATTATTTAATAAATAATAAATAGCAAACTTAATGAAAAGTAAAAAAATTTGATTTTAATTATTAGTTTAATTTTTTTAATTATTAAATAATTAAATTATTAAATTATTTAATAAATAATAAATACTTAATCGAAATAAGAAAATTTTTGCTAACATTATTTATTTAATAAAAAAAATTTCCAAAAGAAAGAGATGTGTGAAATTTAAAAATTTTTTCCTGTCGTATTTTATATTTGGAAAGAGAGGATTTTTCTTTTGAATTTATTATTTTGAATGCAAGAATGGACTGTGGAAAAGATGAAAAGATACTCACCCCCCTTAGCCCCTCTAGACAAGCATTAATAGAATAGAACCGTGGCAGTACAATTTCCACAGAAAGGTTTTACTACCATTCAAATTTAATGTACTGACAAATTACTCAGGTAAACAATCTCCACCCCGAAGGTGTTTCCAAAGCACAATTCGCATCGTTAAGTAGCTTCTGGGGTTTCTATAATATATTCACTTCCTGAAAAGTTAACCCAGTTAAATCACATTCAATGTCAACGAAAGAAATTTATTTTTCCAGTTATATTTTTTATTTTTAGAGAAGTTTTATTTTTTTTTTATTTAGTAGTTTCGAAAAATTTTTAATATTGTATATATGGGAATTTTCAAAAAATAATATTAAAATAATATTTTAATCAAATCAAATTATTAATTTTTTACTGATAGCTTTACATTTAATATTATTATTATTATTATTTTATTTAAAATTGTACAAAAAATAATTGAAATTCTGCGCGACAAGTTTTGTTATTGATGAAAATAATTGAATTCTTGCGAAGAATTTTATTAAACATTTTTTTCAAAAAATTGAATTACAGTGAAGAATTTTATTTGTGAAGAATTTAATTCAAATTTTTTTAAATAATTGAATTTCTCAACATTTTCTAAAACTTTTTTAAAATAATTAAATTCTATCGAGAAATTTCAATTAAAAAATTGAAAATAATTGAAATCTGGAGAAGAATTTTATGAAATTTTTTTTTAAATAATTGAATTCCCATAAAAAATGTATTATTTATAAAAATAATTGAATTCTTAAGAAGAAATGTATTGAAAATGATTGAATTGTATAGGAAAATTTTATTAAAATTGCAATTTTATTAATTAAATCTTGTAAAGAATTTTGTCAAAATTTGGTTAAATAATAGAATTTAAAAAATTTTTTTTTTTTTTTTTTATTAAAATTTTGCGAAATAATTGAATTTCTCAGAAATATTTTTTTCAATTCTCTGTATATATTTGAATTTTGAAACATCATTAAAAAATTAAAAATAATTGAATTTGTAGAACAAAATTTATAAATAATTGATAAGTAATTGAATTTCTGTGAAATTTTTATTAAAATTTTGTTTAAATAATTGAATTCTTTTGGAAAATTTTATTAAAATAATTAAAATGCGGAAATTTTTTTTAAATTATTGGAACTTTGACAAGAATTTTATTAAATTTTTTGAAAATAATTGATTTTCGGAGAAGAATTTTAATATTTTTAAAGATAATTGAAATTTTGACGAAAATTCAAAAAAAATTTTTAAACTTAATTGAATTTATGTCAAGAATTTTATTGAAATTTCCTAAATAATTGAATTACTTCGAAGAATTTTATTTTTTACGAAAATAATTAAATTGTTTCGAAGATTTTTATAAACATTATTGAGAAAACTTTTTTTATTTTTGAAAATAATTGATATCTTGCGAAGAATTTTATTCAAATTTTTAAAAATAATTAATTTTCTCAGAACTTTTGAAAACTATTTGAAAATAATTAAAAATTATGTCGAGAAATTTCTTTAAAAAATTGAAAATAATTGAAATCTGACTTGAAAGTTTCTTAAATTTTTTTTTAAATAATTGAATTCCTCTGAAAAATTTTATTTTTGAAAAGAATTGAATTCTATATATATTAGGGAAGAATTTTATTGAAATTTCTTAAATAATTGAATTGCTTCGAAGAATTTTATTATTTATAAAGATAATTGAAATTTTGACGAGAATTTTTTTTTGAATTTTTGAACATAATTGAACTTATGCGAAGAAGTTCATCACCTTTGAAAATAATTGAATTTCTGTAATCCAGATGTTCTTAAAATTTCTATTTAAATTCATTAAAAATTGAAATTTTCTAAAATATCAAATTGAAACCTTTTAATTTCATCTATTCATATAAAGATTGTAAACACTCTTTTATAATTCAATTAATTTTGAAATTTTTAAGTAAAATTATTCATTAAATAATTTATAAGTAATAATTTTATGATTGTTCTTCAAGAATTAAGTTATTTGAAAAGAAATTATTGTTAGATATAGAAAAATTTAAAAGGTTTTATATTCGAATTTGTCATAATGTCCTATAGTTTATAAGTCAAACAAAAAAGACAGAAATATTCAGAATTTTCTCATAAATTCTAAAAATTTAATTTTTTTTAGTACTTTTAATAAAAATCCTTTTTTCCTGATTCCCTTGACTAATTCTAATTTCCCTGACTTTTCCCTGACCTGTGACAACAATTTCCCTGATTTACAGAACTGACCTGAATTTTAACTCTTTGATTTTGACCGGTAAATAAATTTTTTGTTTAAGAAGGAAGTATTATTATTTAAAAAGAAGGGAAAAATAAGATTAAAAATACTTAATATATGGGAATATGTGGCTGTTCGCAATTAGCATCTCAATTTAATAAAGTACTCGAGTATGCTAGTACAGCCGTATGCTAGCAGTTTGCATTTGCCTCGTTTTCACCCCATCCCTAAAAATGCTGGTGGGCTATCTGAAGAGGACGCGTATAACTTATTGGCAGTAAGTAATACACTGTAGCGTTTCCGGACGAGTGAATAATAATCCTTGGCCTCCTCATATCTACAACAACTAATATATATATATGTATGAATGTATTTTAAGGGCGTCGCGTCACAACTACAACAAATTGAAAACACTCACCACCATCCGGGAGCGGGACGAGGAAAGTTTTATTTTATTTCTTTTTTTATTTCCTTCTTCTCTTCTCTATTGTAACAGCGTCGCGACATTATTTTCTCGACGAGAATTCCTCTGCTTCAAATAATAAAAGAGTAGCAATGCTTGGGTACTTGCCGCGTACTTATAATGCTATATGAAAAAAAAAGGAGAGAGAAAGGGGGGGGGGGGTAGAAATCGACAAGTGGTTCCCACCGTGCCAGGAGGGCGCACCTTGTCACTCCGAAAAACACCCGACATTATTTCATTTGCTATATATACTCATATATAGATTTCTCTTCGTAGAGTTATTTTTAATTATACCTTATAATTATATGTATACCTTTCTGCATATGCACGCATATGACAATTAACAATTGATACCATTCTGTACTTATACACGTGACAATTAACAAATTTGTACAATTTATTTAGTTAATATAATGAAGATTACATGAAGATATCGATAACACCGAGTCTTCGACTCGGAGTGATCGATTTCTTCAAGTTTTATTATAATTAAAAATGACCGAAAGATAAAATCATTATTTTATATTATAAGAATATTATACTTCTTCAAAATTATTTTCATTATTTCAATTCAATTATTATTTTCAAAAAATTTTAACTACAATTTTACTTTATATCAATTACTTTTAATAATTTTCGAAAAAGTTCTTTGGCAATTTTCAAATCCATTTGTTTACAATATTCAATTTCATGAAATTTCAATTTTTCCTAAATTCTTTAATTAAATGCATATATTAGAAAATAAAAACTTCAAATAATATAAAATAAAATTAAATTAAACTTTTTCAAAAAAATTAATTTCAAAATTCAATTATTTCTAAAAATTCACGCTATATTGCTTTTAATATTCAATTATAATCTAAAATTTTAACTGAAATTCATTTTTATGAAATGAAAATCAATTTTTATTAGA